TTTTCCAGTAATAAAGCTGCTTTTATCCAAGTTTACTGTCTGTCCAGATGCTGCCTGGTAATCCTTTATGAAATTTTTGAATTTTACCAAAGATCTAGTATCACCATTGGTAAAAATTAAGAGATCATCAGCAAACCCTAGATGGCTAATAGCCCTCCCTTGTCTACCTAGCCAGTAGGGTTTAATATAACCTTGTTGCATTTGATGTTTCAATCCTCTAGAAAAACCTTCAGATGCAATAATAAAAAGAAAAGGGGAAAGTGGGTCACCTTGTTTGACACCCCTTTTAGGTTGAAAGTAACCTTGAGGAGATCCATTAACAATAATAGACAGATAAGTAGACTTAAGATGTCCTTCAATCAAAGATATAAGCTTTTTAGAGAAACCAAACCTGGACAGGACCTCAAATAAGTATTTCCAGGATAACTTATCAAAGGCTTTGGCCATGTCCAATTTTACAACAACATTGGAGCCCCTGATTTTATGATCTATTGCATGTATCATTTCCTGTGCAATTAAAACCTGGTCAGAGATATCCCTGCCTTTGACAAACCCTGCCTGTTCTTGAGAGATAATTCTAGGAAGAATGTTAACTAATCTTGAAGCCAGGACTTTTGTGCAAATCTTATTAGTAAAATTAGAAAGGCAAATGGGCCTGTAGTCAGCAAAGGTAGTAGGATTTTCAGTCTTGGGGATTAAAACAATAAATGAGCTGGAGAACCCTTTAGGAGGTGGCACTCCAAGAAAAAATTCTTGGACAGCTTTAGTAACATCTCCTCCCACTATTTGCCAACATTTCCTATAAAATTTACCAGAGAAGCCATCAGGACCAGGAGCCCCATTTTGATTCAAATCCCAAACTGCAGCCTTAACCTCTTCTTCACTGGGTAGTGCTGTAAGAAACTCATTATCTTCATCATTTATGATTTCTGGAATATTCAATAAAATGTCATTATTGGTAATTGCAGGTTCCGCAGCATACATGTCAGAGTAAAAGTCCACAGCTGCTTGACTGATCTCGGGTAAAGTAGTACAATCTTGACCCCTAGCATCTTTGATAGTATTTATCATCTGCATTTTCCTCCTAATCTTCACAAAAGAATGATAAAAATGAGAATTGCAGTCCCCATCTTTCAGCCATTTTATATGGGCTTTTTGTTTCCAAAACTTTCTCTCCAATCTATATTTGCTGATAAGAAGAGCTTTTTTAAACTGCCAATCCTCCCTATGCTCTGAATTAGGAAAATCAATATAAGCCTGTTCAGCCTTAGAAACCACTTGCTCCATAGACTTGATATCATCAAAGATGTTTCCAAAAACCTCCTTGTTCCATTGTCTCAAATCCTTTTTCAATGTCTGAAGTTTCCTGAATAAGCCATGCATGCCCCCTCCATTAAAACCTTCTTCCCAACTTTTAGAAACCGTTTGTAAAAACGAACTATTAGAAGTCCACATATTCTGGAACCTAAAAGGTTTAGGTCCAGACTGAATCTCTTTGTTACATTGAATGACCATAGGGCAATGATCAGATGGAGATTGATTAAGGTTGGTAATGATGATCTGATCAAAAGCATCAATAAAGGGTTCATTCATAAGATACCTATCCAATCTCCTCCACAGTCTACCATTTGATCTAACCCCCATCCAAGTGAATTGGCAACCACTGAAGGGGATATCAACTAGATTGCATTTGTGACACCCCCAAATTTCCCACCCAAATTAATACTTTGAAATAGAAATGAACTTTTATTTATTATTTAATCATTCAAATGTTTGCAGCGGAAATAGGTAAAATAAAGGAAAAGGGGTATGTCACCGCCACATCCAATCCGTGAATGATTGGATGTTAAGGCTATCTACCAAAACATGAGTTTAAATAAAAATCAAGATGTCCGAATCATAAGCAAATATTAAAGTTTATTCTAGTGAACTACGATAAGGTCTTCTAGTTCGCGCTCTCAAACATTCCAGCATCAAAATCAACATGATCACCTCCTGTTAGGAACGAGCAAAAGAAAATAAAAGAAAACAAACATTAGCAATAATGCTAAGTAAGTTTCACCTAACCTTTTAAAATAATAATAATTAATATATATATAAATTTGTAGAACCTCATAAAATATTTGACAAATCACTTTATAAGTTATAAGTAAATGGTATCTATACAAAATCCCAACCACACAATTTGCAAATATCATAATAATTCCAAAATACATGAAACACCAAAATTCTCCTCTTTTGAATTTCTCCCAAAAATCACTTTGTAACTAACTCCCTAGTATTTTAGAAGGGCGGTGCTCAATACTTTGGTTGAGCCCGGTGGTCCGTTGTTATGTACGGCCACCCCGGGACTATTGCCGGTACCACAACTGCTCAATGGAAACGGAAACAACTACCTTAAGTGTGCACACCCCCTAAAGGTATTCCAAGCCCTCCGGGTTAGTAAGTTGATCCGGGTAGTCGGGATGTTTTCTACCAACTACCCCACCTCAAAAACTGAATGATTAGGAGCTACTACTACCACTACTACTCAAAAGTCGGGATGTTTTCTACCGACCATCAATTCACCTCAAACCAATACCAACAATAATTGAGTAGTAGTAGACCTAACCACCCTCCACATTTTAAGGGACGTGGAAAACCGACACCACGGATTTCTCCCGTGATGCCCACTCTTTATGAAAATATTTATTTTTCTTTGCTTTCTCAAAATCAATCATAGTTTATACTTCAAAAATCTCCTTTTTATCAAACTCACACAAAGATAACAAATTACGTACTATTACAAAATTTCCCAAAATTGTATACAATAACTCATATTAACAAACCAATATATCAACTAATATCACAAATACAACCCTTTCATATCATAATATATAATCAAATTCAGCACACATAAATTCAATTCTCAAATATGCACACAACAATATTCAAAGAAATCACGAAGTAAAAAGAACTAATTTCGGTTGTCGTGAAACTTACCTCAAGCTCCAAGAACTTCTAGTAAAATCCTCTACCTTGTTCCTCACTCAAATTACCTTCTATTTAGAATAAAAATCAATATCAATTTAACCATAATCTAAATCATCTACCCTTTACAATTCCCTCTTATGATTAGATTACTTCAATAATAATCACTCCCTATAATAGTCTATTTTTAGTTTTATGCTTAATTAGTACGTTTGTCAACTTATCTAATTAGTCCAACATAATTTATTCATTTAATCCATTTATATTAATGATCGATAATCTGAATATCACCATGTGTTATTATGATCAATTTTACAAAAGAAGTTCATAAAATGTTGTCCAGATTATTATTTGAACTAATACAAGTCTAACTACCCTAGCCAATTCACTTTATTTAATGACTAATTATGTATTAACCCGATTAACATCACCATGAATTATTTTATTACAAACATCCATATTAATATCTTACGTAGTAGTACTTTTATTATACCCTGTAACTATTCGTATTTTATTATTATTATTATTATTATTATTATTATTATTATTATTATTATTATTATTATTATTATTATTATTATTATTATTATTATTATTATTATTATTATTATTATTATTATTATTATTATTATTATTATTATTATTATTATTATTATTATTATTATTATTTTTATCTCCTAATTCACGGCCCAGTAGTTCAATTACAAAGAATACCCGACCCAGCTATACTCACAGTCCAAACAAAACAATCCAAAAGCATTAAACGGAATAGGGGGTACAAGATTACATACGGTACGGTACTGTAGCTTTCTTCTTCGCCGTTCACACAGCCCGGCAACACAACTGATCACGGAACCTCGACTCCAACCTCCGGCGGTGATGGCAGGAAGAGACGGTATCTAAGGAAAACGATGGCGGCGGTGGTAACTTAGTCCGGCAGCAACGTCTTCTTCTTCTCCGGCAAGTCTTCGTCCTTTTTCTCCGACGAGCTCCCAAACCAGCTTCCCCGAGTCGGCTCACTCCCTTCTCTTTCTCTCCTCTCTCATTTGTTCTTTACTTTTCAGTTTCGTTCGTTTGAGATAGATAGAGTAGGGAAGTGTATATATACGTGTTCAGTTTGTGGTTGCCGCTATGGTTATCCCTCTGGCCGTTTTCTTCTGAGTTTTAATTATTTTTAATGTTCACTATTAAGGCATTGGTCCGTTGGGTTACATCTCGCGAGTATAAATCGTCCGTTGCCGCTGCCATCCTTAATTATTGTTGTTACTACTACGCATGTATGCGTAGGTGTATGTATATGCATATATCATCATGATATATGTATGTGATGGTTTATAGATGTATGTATGCTATAATTACGTATATATATTGTGTATACGTGTAAATGTAGTATATATGTGTTATTACGTATGTGAATTTATTACATGTGTAGTATATTATTTAGATATGCATGTAGGCTTATTGCTATATACTAACTCATCTTTATTATTTATTTTATGAAGTCTTATTTGTTTTATTTATTTAATCAGATAATTTATATCTGGTTTATTTTTATCAGCCATTTTATTTTTAGCATATGAATTTTATCTGTTTTATTATTATTATTAATATTATTATTATTTTTTTTTTTTTTTTTTTTTTTGTTATTTTTATTTTTTCTAAGGTGTCACAGCATTGAGAGATACAATCTTTAAATTCTGTCATACTGACCAGGTTAGGGATAGATGCACCATTATGCTCTGCATTGCTCATAATTGTATTAAAATCACCTCCAATAACCCAGGGTTCTTGAATAGAAGAAGCCAATTGATTAAGATGTGCCCATAGTTGTCTTCTTTCCACATGAGTGTGTTTAGCATAGATAGCAGTAAACCAGCCCCCCACAGATGGGCCTGTGATTCTGAAATGAACCAATTGAGTACCCCATGTTACATCTGAGATAGTAATATAATTGGAATTCCAAAAGATCCAAATTTTATTAATAATACTAAAAAGTACATTAGAAAACCCAAATTCGAGTTTGAAAGAATCAGCCTTATTGTGATCAACCATTGGCTCAATAACTATAAGAAAGTGAATCCTCCAAGTAGCAATCAATTGAGATAGTCTTGGCCCGGAGGAAGCCAAACCTCTCACATTCCAGACTAAACCATTCATGGGTAACCAGTAGGAATAGTTTTAGATTGCCTTTTGGCAGCATTCCTAGTGGTCATAGTAGGTGTCTGTGGAATTGTTTTCTTTTGTTTTCTCCTTCTCCCCACCTTAATGAACTCCTCCTCTTCAAGATTTTGGTCAATTTGTTTTTCAGGTGACTGTGATAGTGCTGCTATCAATTCTGTATCTTCTCTTTGTTTCCTAGATTGAACCATGAAGCTGACTTTGTTGATGAGAGCAGGTAAAACATCTAACCAATCTTGTTTACTTTCCTGTCTGTGTGGTGGCTCAGAATCAGAACCATATTCCTTGGATGCAAGTTCAGGATCATATTCAGATTGTTTCTCCATGAACTGGATGGAGAAGTCATCTTTAATGTCCTGCTTTCCTTCATTGTGGCAGACAGTAAGTCCGGGGATATCTCCAAGCAGTAAGTGATCCAATATTTCCTTCTCCTTAATCTTTGAATCTGATATTGCATCCTGATTAGAAGATTTGTTTGTAGGTGGGTCTGATGAGCTAGAATTTGTGCTTCATTTTAAAATTACTTTATTTCAATTCTATGCTTATTATTTGCCTAATTGAGAGGTTTGAGTTATATTTTGTGTTAAAAATAATTTTTATAGGTGGAGGGCCACAATTGAAGAATTTAATGATTTTCTGGGCTGAATTGAGAAAATTGCAAGATAATGGAGTTACTTTGAATTGCCCAATTCATTGGCTGATCACTTTAAGTTAAATAAACACAAGCCCTCTCATTATGTGAGTTTGATTGGGAGCTAGAATCTTTGGAGATAGACTATACGCAGCAAAAAAAAAAAAAAAAAAGGAGGATTTCCCCTCTCAAGTCACGCACCACTGCACCAGCAACCCAAATCCATAAGAAAAGAAAAAAGAAGAGCCCAAAAAAAAGGACTGTAGCGAGAGACTCTTGGGCCGAATAAAAACGCAGCAGCAAGGGTTCCCTGGGGAGAATAAGCCGGACTGGAGTAGCTAGGCAGGAGGAAGCCGGACAGTTGGGAGCTGATTCGAAGAGGACGGGGCTGCTTAGTCACTGTCTGTGCATAGCAAGGGACGTAGATACTTCTCGGAAAGGGAGGGCAGACCTGGCCTAGGGACGACACACAGTTCTTCAGTTCTTCTGGTTTTCAGGCTGCAAAATCCTGGAGGAAGGAATCGTTTACTGTTCTAGAAAATTCTGGTTTGAATCAACCCCAATGCCTCATGGTCTTGACTCGTACTCTATTTAAATACTTTGTATTTGAGTATTAGCACAGTCGGTTGATTTCATTATCGTTAAGATGATCTCTTTATTTCTTACTGTTTTACTAGATTTCTATTTCAGGATGAGTAGCTAAATTTTTAAGTCCGGGTTATGATGAAGTTGCTATGATTTAGTATAAATTGTGAATTTAGTTATGTCAATTGGTTGAGTTTTATCCATTGTTCTTATTCACTTAATTTGTTGTGTTAACTTCTGGCCAATTTTAGTATGATTGATTAAGTTGTTTGAGTGGATTAATAGAGTACATGTCATGCCTATTATTCCGAGCTCTTTTGGATAAAAGAATAGATAATTTGACTGTCTTGTTAAGTTATCTATTTGGTTGTTAAATCGGGTTTCCGTAGTTCTTTTGTGATAAATGGATTTTAACTATTGAATTAATTATTTCCTGTTGATTAATAGTTAAAGTACGTGACTTATTCTGGACGCCATACGGAATAGTCATATTTCTGTCTAGAACGAACCCCTCAATTTTAATTGACTAACTAAATCACAAATACTAAAAAGTAGTGACTGATTCATAATCCTGTACTATCTCTTCTCTTGCTAAATTCTCAACCAATTTCCGTTAGTTGTTTAATTACTTTATATTCATTCATTTAAATTCCTTGCATCCATTTTAATTCAAGCTTTACTTTTCAGTTTCAAATCAAACAAATTCAAAATTCATTTTTTTAGTTAGATTAATTTCACTTTTATTTTTATTAATTAATAGTTTTCCAATTACTTAGTTGCATTTTCCCCGTGGATTCGACCCTTACTTGAGCACTGTACTACCGCGACTCGTGCACTTGCGAGGACTATTAAATTGTCTATCAATTTTTGGCGCCGTTGCCGGGGAATTTGTTTAACTAGTTTTTGGAAAATTGTTAATTTTGTTTTTATTTTAGTTAGTTGTGTTTGCTTTTCTTTTTTTCGTTTTTTTTGTATGCTTGGTCGCAGGTCACTTAATCCAGATTTGCTATCGTTGAACGACCAAGTTGACTTAATTGGCAAAAGAACAAAGAGGAGGCTCCGATTTGCTCCTAATCCAACAATGGGTGACGCGCAGCTAATGAAAGAGTTTGGGAGACCAACTGTGGGTGTCTCTCCGTCTTGCATTGTATTGAGTGAGGCTGCCAGGAACTATGATCTAAAGACGGTTCACTTTAACCAATTGCCATCTTTTCATGGACTTTCATCTGAGGATGCCCTGATTTTTATTCGAGACTTCTATGGCATTGTTCAGAATTTCCCCTTGCAAGGAGTGACTGAAGATGAGCTGAAGATGAGGTGTTTTCCCTACACTCTAAAAGAAGCTGCGAAGGCATGGTTTATGTCTTTGACACCTGGTTCCCTGCGCACTTGGAATGATGTGTACAATAAGTTCATTGGCAAGTATTATTCTCAGTCGAAAACTTCAGAATTAAGAAGAAAGATTGCCACTTTTACTCAAGCTGAAGGTGAGCCATTTCATGAGGCGTGGGAAAGATTCAAGATGCTACTCACTCAATGCCCTCACCACGGTTATTCATTGGCGCTCCAGAATCAGACCTTTTATGACGGTTTAAACCAAGGATGCCAAGCTATTGTTGACAACGCAGCTGGAGGAGCAATGGGAGAGAAGACCGCAGAACAGACTTTAGAGCTTTTTGATATGCTCGGAGCCAATTCACAACAGAAGCGTGTGTGTGGCAGAACTCCAGGAATTTATGAAGTGGGAGTTGGGACAGAACTAGCCATCCAGATGTCCGAGTTGTCCAAACAGATGAAGAATATGTGCTATGTGATGACAATGAGCATGTCTACTCCCGTTGTGCATGCAGTACCTGAAGCTGGTTTTGAGCAAGCTCATATGATGAACTCCTACAATCACGGGCCAAGAAATGAGCCATTCTCAAACTCTTACAATCCCGATTGGAGGAACCATCATAATTTCTCTTGGAGTAACACACAACAAAGCAACCAGCCATCACCTGTCCAAAAGAAGCCTGCTTTGGAGGATACTTTGCAAACTTTCATGCAAATCTGCACCCAAAATCAGCAAGCAAACGATCAGCGTTTTCAGCGCACCGAGGCCTCTTTGAGGAAGCTAGAGATACAAGTGGGACAGATTGCTGAGTGTTTACAAGGCCATGTGCAAGGGAAGCTACCGAGCCACACCGAGGAGGCAAAAGCTATCACGGTTCTGAAGGGTGGGAAGATAATTGAGAAAGATGAAAGGCAGCCCATTTTGAAGCCACCAGAAGAGGTAGAAGCTGAAAATAAAGAACTTGAAGCTGAATCAGTGAATGAGGAGACCGGGCTGCACGAAGCTGAAGATCCATATGTGCCGCCTAAGCCATATGTTCCACCCGTTCCTTTTCCAAACAGGTTAAAAAGTTCTAAGCTTAACAGTTCTTTTGAAGAGATTTATAAGTTGTTGTCCAAAGTTAATGTGAACTTGCCTCTTCTTGACATGATAAAAAACATGCCTGCCTACGCTAAGTTTTTGAAAGAATTGAGCACTAGAAAGCGTAGGTATGAACCAAATGAAAAAGTTTTTGTTTCTAAGGCTGTTAGTGATGTTTTACAAAAAGATTTGCCCCCGAAATTAGAGGACCCTGGCAGTTTTATAATCAACATTAATTTAGGGAATTCTAAATCTGAAAAAGCAATGCTTGACTTGGGGGCAAGTATTAATTTGATGCCTTATTCTGTTTACTTGAAATTAGGGCTGAATGAGCTTAAATCTACTACTATGTCCCTACAGCTTGCTGACCGCTCTATTAGATATCCTAGGGGCATTGTAGAGGATGTTTTAGTTCAAGTTGATAAGTTGATCATTCCTGCTGATTTTGTGGTTTTGGATATGGATGATCAGTGCAAGTATGTGAAAGACATGCCAATTTTACTTGGTAGACCTTTTATGGCTACGGCAAAAACTATGATTGATGTTCAAAATGGAAAATTGACTATGAGTGTGCTTGACGAGACAGTTGAGTTTTCCATTTTGAAATCAATGAACATGTCAGCTGATTCTAGTTGTTGCTTTGCACTTGATATTCTTGATCCTATTGTTCCTTTGGACAAGTTGCAGGAAGATGAACTTGAGAATCATGCTTATGAGAGTGCGGAAGTTTGCAAGAAGCGCACTAATCTTTTTCAGCACAAGTCCATTTTAAGGAAAGATTTTAAACCTGGAATTAAAGTGCTATTGCTTGACTCTCGTTTAAGATTTTTTCAGGGGAAAATAAAGTTTAAGTGGACTGGCCCGTTTGTGATTCGCCAAATTTTTCCCGATGGTGTAATTGAGCTTATAAATCCAAAATCCGGGAATATTTTTAAAGTGAATGGTGAGAGAGTGAAGAGATATTCATGTGGTGGAGATTTGGTGGAGCGAGTTGAAAATCTTGAGCTTTGGGAACACTGTTGCTCTTGTTGTGTTTAATCACATGCTTTAAAAAAAAATATTAAAAAAAACCAAAAAAAAAAATCATTCTCTTAATTCTGTTTTTCCCCTCCCCATACTGTTCTTTTCTTTCTTAGTTTTTTAGTTTTGCAGATAATATTGAAGATGTTTCGTTCCTGTTCGTAGTGCATCAGGGAGTATTTCTTTTCCTTTTTATCATTCTTTCATTGTGCATAATGCTTGAAATAAGTGTGGGGGAGGAGTAGCTCTCGTTTTTTGTTTTATTTTAGTCACAAAAACAAATAAAAAAATCAGAAAAACTGAAAAAAAAAACTGTTTTCTTGTTTGGATTTGAGGGAAATGTAATTTCAGGATTACTTCTTTGGCTTCAAGCTGTGAAAATTTTCCCTTTCATTGGTATGTGGTATGATTGGTGGTCTACATGGTAGATTTTCTCTTGAGTTTGATCGAGTCCTTCACATTGTTTTTACTTGGAGTCAATTTCATAGCTTCTTGTGTCATTAATTTTGATGTACTTTTCAATTCTTTATGATCTTTTAGGATGCATCTTGAACGTTCCTGGAAAGAGTGTGAGTCCTTTGTCTTTTATCTAGCATGATAGAACTTGTCTTGTTGCTCTTTTGGAAGCTAAGTTATTGTGCAAACTGATTGAGAAGTGATCTAGGCCATTTTTCATAACCCGAGACTTTTAGCCTACCCTTTGCATTTTATTTCCGCTTGCTACCCCCTTTGAGCCTACTTGGTCTTGTAGCATTCTACCGTGCTTTGACTAATAATTTCTTTGTTATTACCCACCATTATTTACCCGAGCCCAAATAGCCAAAAAATATCCCATCACCCTTGAGTTGACATTTTTTTACTTAAATTGTGACTTGGAAGAGTTTTCATCTTATTGGAGCATTTTTTTTCCGGCTGTTTGTATATGTAATTTTGTTATGGAAGCTTGACGTTTCCTTTTAGAAGTAGTGTTGATGTAGCATTAAAAAAAAGCTGAAAAAAAAATACAAAGAAAAAAAAACGAAAAAAAAAAGTGAAAAAAAAGAGAAAAGTAAAAAAAAAAAAGATGAATGGAGTTGAAGTTTGTATTGTTTTCACTTTATGTATGTACTCCGTTATTTTAGAAGCCGGTTGATTGTTGTAATAGTTTTTTTGTGCCCCTTTAGCATTTTTTTGAGCTCTTCCTAGGATCAATTTAGTATAGAAAATGTCTTCTCTTTTATTTTGATTTCACATATCCTTTCTTTCATTAACCATTACCCCTGGCCACGTTACAACCCGAATAAAAGTCCTAAGTGATCTTGATCAAGTTTGTGCTTTGATAAGGTGGAAGGAAGAGTGCATGATGACTATAGAGTGTTGACTGATTGACTTTGGATTTTGCATGAATTCTGGAAAGTTTCTTGAGCATCTCACTAGGTCATTTAGAATTGTAAAATACATCTCTATTAATGACATGAGAGTCTCGATAATTGACATTTGAGTTTGGCATTGTGGTCCTACTTGATTTGAATTTCTTGAGTTATCTTGTCATGGAGAGGAATGTTGGAATGCTTGGTGAGTGAAAGGGAATTTTGATCACTTGGAGCTAGAATTGTTTCTTGATTTTAATTTTCCTCGAGGACAAGCAAAATGCAAGTGTGGGGGAGTTTGATGAGCTAGAATTTGTGCTTCATTTTAAAATTACTTTATTTCAATTCTATGCTTATTATTTGCCTAATTGAGAGGTTTGAGTTATATTTTGTGTTAAAAATAATTTTTATAGGTGGAGGGCCACAATTGAAGAATTTAATGATTTTCTGGGCTGAATTGAGAAAATTGCAAGATAATGGAGTTACTTTGAATTGCCCAATTCATTGGCTGATCACTTTAAGTTAAATAAACACAAGCCCTCTCATTATGTGAGTTTGATTGGGAGCTAGAATCTTTGGAGATAGACTATACGCAGCAAAAAAAAAAAAAAAGGAGGATTTCCCCTCTCAAGTCACGCACCACTGCACCAGCAACCCAAATCCATAAGAAAAGAAAAAAGAAGAGCCCAAAAAAAAGGACTGTAGCGAGAGACTCTTGGGCCGAATAAAAACGCAGCAGCAAGGGTTCCCTGGGGAGAATAAGCCGGACTGGAGTAGCTAGGCAGGAGGAAGCCGGACAGTTGGGAGCTGATTCGAAGAGGACGGGGCTGCTTAGTCACTGTCTGTGCATAGCAAGGGACGTAGATACTTCTCGGAAAGGGAGGGCAGACCTGGCCTAGGGACGACACACAGTTCTTCAGTTCTTCTGGTTTTCAGGCTGCAAAATCCTGGAGGAAGGAATCGTTTACTGTTCTAGAAAATTCTGGTTTGAATCAACCCCAATCCCTCATGGTCTTGACTCGTACTCTATTTAAATACTTTGTATTTGAGTATTAGCACAGTCGGTTGATTTCATTATCGTTAAGATGATCTCTTTATTTCTTACTGTTTTACTAGATTTCTATTTCAGGATGAGTAGCTAAATTTTTAAGTCCGGGTTATGATGAAGTTGCTATGATTTAGTATAAATTGTGAATTTAGTTATGTCAATTGGTTGAGTTTTATCCATTGTTCTTATTCACTTAATTTGTTGTGTTAACTTCTGGCCAATTTTAGTATGATTGATTAAGTTGTTTGAGTGGATTAATAGAGTACATGTCATGCCTATTATTCCGAGCTCTTTTGGATAAAAGAATAGATAATTTGACTGTCTTGTTAAGTTATCTATTTGGTTGTTAAATCGGGTTTCCGTAGTTCTTTTGTGATAAATGGATTTTAACTATTGAATTAATTATTTCCTGTTGATTAATAGTTAAAGTACGTGACTTATTCTGGACGCCATACGGAATAGTCATATTTCTGTCTAGAACGAACCCCTCAATTTTAATTGACTAACTAAATCACAAATACTAAAAAGTAGTGACTGATTCATAATCCTGTACTATCTCTTCTCTTGCTAAATTCTCAACCAATTTCCGTTAGTTGTTTAATTACTTTATATTCATTCATTTAAATTCCTTGCATCCATTTTAATTCAAGCTTTACTTTTCAGTTTCAAATCAAACAAATTCAAAATTCATTTTTTTAGTTAGATTAATTTCACTTTTATTTTTATTAATTAATAGTTTTCCAATTACTTAGTTGCATTTTCCCCGTGGATTCGACCCTTACTTGAGCACTGTACTACCGCGACTCGTGCACTTGCGAGGACTATTAAATTGTCTATCAGGGTCCTCATGATACACTTCTTCCGTATCAGTATCATCCAGCTTATACTCCTCCACCTGGTGCTTAGAAGTAGTTGGTTGATCATAAACAATAACAGCTTTACCTTTTTCTCTCTCCTTTTGTAAAGCTTGATTGTTTTCTGTTTCCCCAAGTTCTGCATTGCCATGTGTAATTTTGTTCTGAGATTTAGCAACCCATGTATGATTAGTTTTGGAGGCAGGCTCCGAATTAGCAACAGGACCAGAAGAGTAAGCTTTTCTGTTGTGTTGCCCTTCAATTTGTAGAGTACCTTCCTTCTTGGGACATTTGGAAGTCTCATGTCCCAGGTGTAAGCAAGAGAGACAGTATGAACACCGATTTTCATATATGATTGGTTGAACAAATCCCAACTTGCCAGCCTGAATCCAAATTTTATTTGGCATAGGTTTAGTGAGATCCAACTCCACACAAACTCTTGCTAAGGAAGGTCTTGCAAGAGTAGTAGTAGCGATATCCAATTTTAAAGGTTTACCAATCAAAGCAGCGATCTCAAACATAGCGCGTTTATCATGTAAGTGAATAGGTAAACCTTCTAACGTTAACCAAACAGGAACAATAGGTGATTCCACATTAGGCATAAAATCTGGAGACCACTTAGTAACCCTCATAGAATTACCATGAATATCCCAAATTTGCCTATTCCAACAGCGTATGTAATCTTCCTCTAAATCGAAGCGAATAAGGACATGTTTCTTCTCTAATAACCCCAAATGAAATCCTCCTTTGAATCTGATGATTTCAAAGGATCGCCTGATTGTAGCCATGGGTGGCCGACCCTTGTAGAAATATCCCACAAGAGCACGTTTGTGCTTATCTGCCAAAGTATCAACTGCCTCCTCAGGAAATGTCACCGATGGCAGTCCCTTATATTTTGATCTGGTGATAGAAGGAAGGGTGGCATCAGCACGATCTAGCAATACAGAAACAAAAGAACGACGGTTGTCTTCTTTCCATACATTACCGGCCGGCGGTCTGCCGGCGGTGCAATCGCTCTAGGGTTAGTCATCGGTCTCCCCAAGCAGCATCGACTTTTCTTTTCTCTCGCTCCGCACAATTCATATGTATATATATATATATAAACAACACAGTCTTTTTCAATTCCACATTTGACTGACTTCCCGATTGAATTTGTAGCTGCAATTTGGTAGATATAAACCACACTTTATGAAGAACATGCTCAAAAAATTTCATCAAAGGATTCCACCGGTTCAAATGTGTAACACTTGAGAATTAATATAAATGGATTAATAGTACTACTCATACCAACAAGGTGCATCTCCTTTTAAGGGAGCTCATTACCTAAGAACTCCAAAGTTAAGCGTGCTTGCATGGGAGTAGTCTTGGGATGGGTGACCCCCTGGGATGTTTCTCAGGGCGCGCATGAGTGAGGACAAAGTGCGCGGAAAAGGCTTGTGGCGGTTTGTGAGGACAGTACTAGAGGTCTGGAGGGTGTGTAGAGTAACTACCTTGGACCCCGCGGGGCCAGGGTGTTATAAAATGGCCTCAACCTGATGGAAGTTCCTGTCAGGCCGACCTCATATGATCTGCCCTGTATATTATACTCCCTCCGTCAGGTTAAGATTGTCCCATTTTACCTTATCGAGAAATTCCACTAAGATTCTCTCATACCAAATATAGTAAAGTTTGTGTGGCTCTAAATAAATTTTACTTTATTTTTACTTTATCAATTCAATGTTAACCACACAAACTCACTTTTCTTGATAACCGTGTCACCTCCTCTTGTCCCAATGATAGTGGGACGGATGTAGTATATATATATCACAAATATTCCGGTGAGGCGCCGCCCGGATCCTTCTTCAAGTCTCGATACAACCCCCCCATCTGGTGTGCATTGGTAAAGAGGGCAATTCTAATGTATTCCGTGAGCTGGTCAACCTTAATTGTTTCGTCCCTCCATTAGGTGAGGAACTTGGAGAGCGATTCCTTTGCCCCCTGGAAAACACTAGTGAGGTAGCTGAAGTGCCTCTTCTACATCGCGCTCGAGATGAATTTAGCGAGGAACTGTTTTGACAGTTCGTGATTGGCCAAACCATTCTTGTGTCGGACTCCATAGTGTGCTGAAGAACGACTAACAAATGGCATCATTGAATGCCCCTAACAACATGAGCCCACCCTGGTAGGTCGACAAGTGGGCCCTTGCATCCTCAACCCCATTATATTGTAGGTCAGACCTCCTGGCGGCTTGCAATCTCAAGGAATATCCGCGTCCATGATTCTTGTGGAGAGAGGGGATGCGAGGCAAGGTCTGGGCTGCGCAGGGGTCCCCGCCACATGACGAGTTGATAAGTCCGTATTTAGACACGCATTTGATGCGTGTTGGGATTGGATTTTGATGGTTTTCCTAGCTTTAAGGTGTTACAAGTCTCAATTTTAGCTCAAGTTATGTTTACTGGGCGTTGGTTCGAGTTTTGTGTCATTTGGAGTCAAATCAGGATTTTAGAGTTCGGCACTGGCGCTTGAGGAACAATCGGGATGATTTGAGAAGCATTTGAGATTGATTTGAGAGCTATGGAGGTCACCGGTAGGTTTACGGTGAAGATTTAATGACAAAAGAGCTCTAGGATTGGCTATGAGATCAAAAAGAAGATGAATGAAGCTTGAAAACGGCATTCAGGATGACCTTTGGTCAATCGTTCAAGCATATCTCTTTGTATAAGCATCCAAAGAACACGATTCAAAGTCCACATGAAAGCCAACTTCAAGAGATATGAATCATATGAAGACATCATTCCTAGAATCTGAGAGGAAGAAGATGAAAACAGACGATGAAGTCAGATGATCTCTGCTGCGATTTCAGAATGACACCTTCCACCGTTTTGATCATATCTCTTGATTGCATGATTCAAATCACATTCGGCAAATTGGGGTGGATAGAAGACTTCATTATCTACAACTTTCATGAAAAACGTTTTGTCAAATTCGGGAAGTTTTACGCACGCCGTGCGTAGGGGAACGCACGACCGTGCGTCTGAGGCGAGAAAAGCAAGGTAGCTACTGCCAGCTACGCACGGCCGTGCGTAGGGGGGACGCACGCCGTGCGTAGCACCGGGTGACGCAAACTTGAATCCCAAATCGGTCCGAATTCATATTTTTCCTCCTTTTTCTATAAATAAGGCCTCCCTAACCCTTTTTTGATGGTTACGAACATTACGGAGAGGCCTAGGGACGAATTTACTTGCGTTTTTACGATTGTTTACTCCAAGACCCCGGGATTATTTGTAAGTTCATCTTTTTAATTAATGACAATTATTTCTATTCATCCCAATTCTGTTGATTCTTCAATTATGAATTGTGAGTAGTTTAATTAGGGATTTGGGATTGATGAAGGGGTTAATCATGATTGATGGGTAGATTCTTGTCGGTTTAATTGCATGAATGCCATTTAATTTGTGTTTGAATAATTTAACTGATATCTTTTGTAACCTGGAACCGCGGCTAGAATTACAATTGCTTGTAGAATAAATTAAGAGAGATCTAGTTTATTCTAGGACACATTCACACACACTTAATCGTTCGCTAAGAGATTAGTAGCGATTAAGGAGCTGTAAGCTCGCTCGTCTTGGCAATAATTTAGGATCCTGTCGCATGAGAGATCAGCCTGGTCCCCTAAATTATTGTACTCTACGCCGCGAGAGCGGTAAGAACTTAGGAATGATTAGCTAGGCTCAATTAAATCAATTTCATGTAATTAGGCCTGATCTGCCAGAAATCTGGTTACCCCGGAATCAATCCCTATGCTCTTCGTCATTAATTAATTAGAAACCACATTTATTTTTTATTCGCTCAACCGCATTAGTTTAATTTTCAAATCAACCAATCTCGCACGACGCATTTATTTTATTTATTTCATTTTTAATCGCTGAATTTAGTTAATCATTAATTCCCTTTTGTCCGTACCTGTGGAGACGATACTCGTACTTACACCCCTATATTACAATTTTTTTTTAAGTGCGAGAAAACTCACATCAGTTTTTGGCGCCGTTGCCGGGGACGGTGTCGGATTTAAGGATTAATTAATATCAGCGACTTGTTTTTAGTTTTTCGTAGGATTTTTGTCTACTAACCTTGCAGGTCAGTCTGTTTATGCATACACGCTCAAAGAGGGGAGAACCACTTATCTCTCTTAATCCTGAGATTGAGAAGTTCGCTAGACAGAACCACAAGGCTTTTCTTGAGAAGAACGCAACCATGGACCCTACATCCTCTGGATTTGCTGGTACGTCTGAGGTCCAAACCACTGCTGATAACCTTGATTTTTTCGTCAATACCTCTCCTTTGTCTTCACCGCCTGCATCACCTAGAAATCCCGCTGGATTTCAAAATTTCCACAATCCTTTCTTCCGTCAAAATCAGACCACTCCACAATTAAATCTTCCTCCATTATACCAACTTTTCCAAAATACCTCTACTCCTCCCGAAACCACTTTTCAGAACCAAACATATGGGATGAAGGGTGTAGGGCAATCCATTCCAGTCTTACAGCCTAGACAGCACCCACCACCAGTCACCCAAAATCCACCCCTGACTCAGCCACAAAATCAGCCTTTTCAGAATCAAAACCAATTCCGTCAGCCCAAAGTGCAGCCCCAACCGCAACTAAACATAATCCGACCACACCCTATTAGACCACAGCCTGTTCTTCAGCCTAGACAGCAGGCTCCTCCATTCAATAATTATATCTCACATGACAACCCGCTCTATCAGGGAGAGACCATTGCAGATTTCCTCACTCCGGAGATTTCAGAGTATGACAGCATTCAAGTACCGGGAATTACTGCAAACCGTTACGAGATCAACCCAGCGGTGATTAACATGGTGTCCAATAATCAATTTGGAGGAGGCCCTACTGAAGATCCAGTGGCGCATATTACCCGATTCCTGCGGATGTGCCAGACTTTCAAGATACCTGGAGTAGATGAT